AGGGGGGGGGGGGGGGGGGGGGGGAGGCAAAGGACAAGACTGGCAACTGTGATAAAATGAGGCTTCAAGGGCAGTGATCATCATATCATCACGGTCACATAACATCCCTAGGTATGTATCAGCAATACTCAAATATTGAACAGTCACTTATGCCCGGTTCTGCAAACAGGTAGCATGTTTGAACCAAAACATTTACATACGAGCTTTATGGAGCCCTATCAAACCAACTGTACAGAACTAAAAATCCAGAGAAATATGTCATCACCATTGACTTATAGGACACTTTATCAAATTTCCGCTTGCAAATTTAAAGATGAAAGAAATGAATAATTTTTTGTAATATCAAGTACTGTATTTGACTATAGGAACGGTTCTTTTCTTATTGATGATCTGCATGTATTATAGACAATGTGTCTGATGAAAACTGAGTCTATCGGTTGGTGAATGATTACTGTTGATTAAAGTCATAATAACTCTTCATTTTGGCTAAAAATTGGATTTTCCTGGAGTAAACGGCAATTTTCCCGTACTTACCAATGGTCAGCGACCCCATTCCTGCATTCAAAGTTAATCCAGGGTTTTTTCCTAATCGTACGTTTTTTTGTTAAAATCTCTTAAGAGATTTCTTAAGAGATTAATCTCTTAAGAGATTAAAATTGATTAAGATTTTAACTGACGGAGCTCTCTCTGACATCGCATAGTCACTGTTGACCTACTTAAAACCGCGGGAAAAGCAGACAACAACAACACTATATAAGATTCATGAGATATATTCGTCTTTTTGTTAAAAATACATTAATATCCACAATGTGTGCCATTCTGGGCTTTTCGTTATCCGACGCACTGTACAAAAACTCGCAACTTACGTCTGCGTCTGCATTAATGCATTTGGCGCCATATGTTATTTTGGTCTCGAATGAACGCGAGAATCCACGTGACACCATTACGTCATTAGCAATGAATGCCTTGATGACCGGGAAGAAAAGCATCGAAAGCCCTATTGACAAGCACAGATTTTAGTTTTACTACAATAACGGCTGTTTTAGTGGTAAAATACAATAGAATATATTTCCATGCGTTGTTTACAATGTATTTCATGCGGAATTTTGAATCTCAAAGGAAGAGTTATAATTGCTTTAACACTGAATGACTAAAATGCATGAGTTGTACTTAGTATTCTTATTGGTGATCTAAAAATAGTGTCTGATAATTATTGAACCCACAATGTACGTTTGAGAGCAATAAATATTGTTTAACACATTGAATGAATAAATTGTGTATGTTAAAAAAATATGATTCAGATGGTTTTCATAAATTGTCTTGATTGTTCGAAATAGCTGTTTTTGTTAGTTTTCTGTTTCTGTCATCCGAACATATCATTTTGAGTTGTAGAAAGGATTTTTCATAACTGTTGTGATGACACCTGGCGTGGTCCTTTTTATGCCAGTAAGTATTTCATAGACATCATTGTCAGTAATGATGGTGATATTCTCCGTGGTAAAAGTGTCATCACCTTTAAAATAGTATTTTGTTCTTTCTTCCTCATATATATGATGGGTTTTGGCATTATTGTTTGTCAGTTCATTTTCCACGTTCCTTATTTCAGCTGTCTCCCCCTCTGAATCTGGAGCATTGTTACACCCACTTTCATTGCCTTTAGTTCCTCTTAAAGTATTTGAACTATATTTTGTTTGGATGTGCATTGTTTCATGTGTTTTGCAATTATGCTCTTGACTAAATTCTATTCCACATGTATAAGGTTTCTCACAGGTGTGCATTCTTTTAGGACTAGTGAAGGCCAATTTTGTCATAAACTCTGTGTCACAGTGCTTGCTTTGATTATGCTTCTCTCCATGAATGGTTTCATGATCAGTGCAATTCCCTTTGAGAGTGAAACTTATGTCACAAAATCTACACTTGTAAGGTTTGTCTCTGATGTGAATTCTTTCATGGCTGATGCAATTCCCTTTTTGAGCGAAAGTTTTGTCACAGAATCTACATTTGTAAGGTCTCTCTCCAGTGTGAATTTTCTCATGACGTATGCAAGAATTTTGGTATTTAAAAGTTTTGTCACAGAATCTACACTTATAAGGTTTGTCTCTGGTGTGAATTCTTTCATGGTTAGTGCAGTTTCCTTTTATAGGGAAAGTTTTGTTGCAGAATCTACATTTGTAAGGTCTCTCTCCAGAGTGAATTCTCTCATGATATATGCAAGAAATTTTGTCTTTATATGTTTTGTCACAAAATCTACACTTGTAAGGTTTGTCTCCGGTGTGAATTCTTTCATGGTTAGTGCAACTCCCTTTTTGAGTAAAAGTTTTGTCACAGAATCTACACTTGTAAGGTCTTTCTCCATTGTGAATTCTCTCATGACAAATGCAAGAAATTTTGTCTTTATAAGTTTTGTCACAGAATCTACATTTGTAAGGTCTCTCTCCAGTGTGAATTCTTTCATGGCTTGTGCAAGAACCTTGTTGTGTAAAAGTTTTGTCACAGAATCTACACTTGTAAGGTTTCTCTCCTGTGTGAATTCTTTCATGGCCCATACAAGATCCTTGTTGTGTAAAAGTTTTCTCACAGTATCTACACTTGTAAAGTTTCTCTTCAGTGCACATTTTTTAATGAATGGTGCAAGAACTTATTTGTATGAAATCTTGTCACAGAATCTACACTTGTAATTATTTTCTTGAAAGATTCTTGTTTAAAATTTCATTGAGTCCCATTTCCAAGGCTATCAGATAAATTTCTTTTCCTATTCATCACCCTTCTTTTGTACATAACTCCTGTCAGCCATACTGGGTAGTTACTGAAGTACACCAGTGTCATACACTTTGCTTTTAGTTAGTCAGTTACATGTATTAAGAAGAGGTGTTATACTTATCCAGGCTTGATATGTCCTTTTCATTCTATACTTGTGTTCACAATTCAACATTGAGCACCATACTCACTTGGAGTTTGTATGATCTTCTTGTAAATATTACCAGTGCACCAAGTCCTTGTACTGAGGAATGTGTATGTAGTTGAAGTAGGCTCTTGCTGCTTAAAGTCTTGAATACAGTCATTCTGTTGGACAATGTTAACTGCTGGCTACAGTGGATATATCTGATTGGTTGAAGTCATTTCTATACCATATTTCAGATGTTTTAAAGATATTATTAAAATTCACAACCCACCACATCTAATTATCTGTAATTATTTCACTAAGCTTTGATTAACATGTAACATGGTTTTCTATCAAGCTACACCTAACCAGATAAAAAACAATGACTGGTTTACATTTACGGTAATTATTCTGTTTTTCTTTTTTATGCGTGTGTGTCTGTTTTTTGGTTATACATTTGGTGATGTTCAGCCCATAAATTCCAAACCGTATTTTTTTCTACTTCAAATTTACTGAGTTGCTTTCTTTGGTAAAGAGGCATGTTGCTTTCCAAAATCAGCATAATTGGTTTATATTTACTGTGATTATATCACGGTGGGTTTTGGGCATCAGATCTACCGGAACATTGTCCAAGAATAAACAAGCAAGACTTAGTAGCTACTTCCACACAGTTGTCTTTATACCTGGGTAAGATCTGGGAGCTTTCAGCAACTTGACCAGCTTCTCAGAGTATACACATAAATGTTATAGTTAGCCTATTCAAACAATGGGCTATTGCAAGAGATATATGGTTTTAATTACAGATAAGATGACTTAAGTTGATAAAATTATAATGAAAGAGACCACTGTCTGTCCATTTCATGTGTAGATAAATGATGTATCAGACCCTTTTATTTTCATAACAATACAGTTGTGATACATCTCCCTTAGTTGACAACATTTGTGCCTCAGATTTTAAAAATAAATTATTAATATTTAAATCATATTTCTAATTCAGTATCATATACTGAAGTTCACTGAAGCAAATATAGAAGACAATGCAAACACGCATGAAAAATTTTGAAATTAAAACCGACTTACCATTTTTATTACAAACATGCCAGATTTGCTACAAACAATATCAACAATTTCAATCTTTTCCTCTTCAATCTCTTACCAAATTTTAAAAACTGGAACATTTCAAATCCCAATTAATGCAACCAGCAACCATTCATCCATGTAACCAACATTCCTGAATATTTCGGCAAACCCAATTCAGACAAATCATAGATCACTTTCAATGAAAATTTTCTTAGGGAATGTGTAGGAGAAAATGAGAAGCTATATGAAACCTACTCTAAGGCCAGCAGTTAATTAATTTATGTTTCCAAGTTACCATTTAGTGCTCAATAAACTTATATTTGCAGATAAACATAACATTTAATAATTTTGTGATTTCAAAATTTAAAAGACTAAAGAACAATATTTTGGTGTATAAAATTCATCCATGTTACAACCTCAGCTTTGAATGTGAAGAAAACTATATGAAAAGAGGTTGTGATATCTGCATGATAACACCATAAATCTTGCAGTCCTACAACATTTTTCCAATTCCCAAAATTTCTAATCAATTTTAGGCCATTCCTTATTTTCAGAACCCCCAACTNACAGTATCTACACTTGTAAAGTTTCTCTTCAGTGCACATTTTTTAATGAATGGTGCAAGAACTTATTTGTATGAAATCTTGTCACAGAATCTACACTTGTAATTATTTTCTTGAAAGATTCTTGTTTAAAATTTCATCGAGTCCCATTTCCAAGGCTATCAGATAATTTTATTTTCCTATTCATCACCCTTCTTTTGTACATAACTCCTGTCAGCCATACTGGGTAGTTACTGAAGTACACCAGTGTCATACACTTTGCTTTTAGTCAGTCAGTTACATGTATTAAGAAGAAGTGTTATACATATCCAGGCTTAATATGTCCTTTTCATTCTATACTTGTGTTCACAATTCAACATTGAGCACCATACTCACTTGGAGTTTGTATGAACTTCTTGTAAATATTACCAGTGCACCAAGTCCTTGTACTGAGCAATGTGTATGTGGTTGAAGTAGGCTCTTGCTACTTAAAATCATGAATACAGTCATTCTGTTGGACAATGTTAACTGCTGGTTACAGTGGATATATCTGATTGGTAGAAGTCATTTCTATACAACATTTCAGATGTTTTAAAGATATTATTAAAATTCACAACCCACTGCATCTAATTATCTGTAATCATTTCACAATGCTTTGATTAACATGTGGCATGGTTTTCTATCAAGCTTCACCTAACCAGATAAAACCCAATGATTGGTTTACATTTACGGTAATTGTTCTGTTTTTTTTTTCTTTTTTGTGCGTGTGTGTGTTTTTTGGTTATACATTTGGTGATGTTCGGCCCATAAATTCCAAACCGTATATTTTTGTTATACTTCAAATTTACTGAGTGGCTTTCTTTGGTAAAGAGGCATATTGCTTTCCAAAATCAGCATAATTGGTTTACATTTACTGTAATTATATCACAGAGGGTTTTGAGCATCAGCTCCACTGGGACATTGTCCAAGAATAAACAAGCAAGACTTTAGTAGCTACTTCCACACAGTTGTCTTTATACCTGGGTAAGATCTGGGAGCTTTCAGCAACTTGACCAGCTTCTCAGAGTATACACATAAATGTTATAATTAGCCTGTTCAAACAATGGACTATTGCAAGAGATATATGGTTTTAATTACAGATAAGAAGATGACTTAAGTTGATAAAATTACAATAAAGAGACCACTGTCTGTCCATTTCATGTGTAGATAAATGATGTATCTGACCCTTTTATTTTCATAACAATACTGTTGTGATACATCTCCCTTAGTTGACAAATTTTGTGCCTCAAATTTTAAAAATAAATTATTAATATTTAAATCGTATTTCTAATTCAGTATCATTTACTGAAGTTCACGGAAGCAAATAAAGAAGACAATGCAAGCACACATGAAAAAATTTGAAATTGAAACCGACTTACCATTTTTATTACAAACATGCCAAATTTACTACAAACAATATCAACAATTTCAATCTTTTCCTCGTCAATCTATTACCAAATTTTAAAAACTGGAACATTTCAAATCCCGATTAATGCAACCAACAACCATTCGTCCATGTAACCAACATTCCTGAATATTTCGGCAAACCCAATTCAGACAAATCATAAATCACTTTCAATGAAAATTTTCTTAGTGAATGTGTAGGAGAAAATAAGAAGCTATATGAAACCTACTATAAGGCCAGCAGTTAATTTATGAATGTTTCCAAGTTACCATTTAGTGCTCAATAAACTTATATTTGCAGATAAACATAACATTTAATAATTTTGTGATTTCAAAATTTTAAAGACTAAAAAACAATATATTGGTGTATAAAATTCATCCATGTTACAACCTCAGAAAACTATACAAAAAGGGGTTGTGATATCTGCATGATAACCCCATAAATCTTGCAGTCCTACAACATTTTTCCGATTCCCAAAATTTCTAATCAATTTTAGGCCATTCCTTATTTTCAGAACCACCAACTGTAGACATGCCATAACTAATATTGTACACTAGCTACTTCTTAAAATTTTGACCCAAGATAACCAAATTAGACAAGGCCATGACGGCAACCAAAAAGGGACAAACAATTTTCCAATCTTTGGCAGAACCTCTGTTATCTGTAGAACTGAAATTGCAAGATGCAGAACTAAACATTAATTAAATATTTGAGAAATAATTTTATGTGTAGTATGGGTATAGCAAGTGTTGTCAATGTATATCTTTATATGTTATGTAAATACTGCAGTCTAGTAAGCCTGCAAATATATCTTCATACCATTTTGTGCTCAATAAACATTATAATTATTAAGTCATTATTATTCTTATTTAATAAGCATTTTTAATTTTTTTTTAATTTGAGGCACAAATTTAATTGGATAAGGGAGAGCATTATTTATTTTTTATGATTGTAAATAATTTATTTAACCTTATTTATTGCTGAATTCTTTTAGTCAGATTATGTATATTCTGTTTGGACCTCCAAGAACATAATATATGTCACCAACCTTTAATTAGTAGTCATCTTGACATATTTGATAAGATAAGAAATAATAAATACAATATAGTATGTATCTGTGTCCGTCATCTTTTGTACACATGCTTAGATAAAATTTAAATTTGTTAGATAAGAAGAATAGATATCAGTGTCCTGGTCTTTCTGTAATATAGCATAATCAGGACAGAACCAGTCTGACTGATGGCTGCATTGTTTTAATCAGTAGTGAATATTCATGTGATGAAATGAAGATTTAAGACTGGGTTCCCATACCTAGATTGAGTCAACAGGATTGATCCATCTCCAAGGGGTTTCTCGCTAAATTGCTATCAGCTCAAGAGGCTTAAATGTCTGTCATGCCTACCAAATCAGCTAGGGGTAAAAATATAATAATTTTAATGTAGTCATTTATATATTTTCAGGCTGCAAAGTTTCTTAAGTCAATGATGTAGAAGATATTCCCTCTGATTGGCCAGTGGTAGTCAAGAAGAGACAGCTAAGGTAAAACTGCGCCCTGTGGGATTTATTTATTTACTTATTAAAATCAAAACAGTTTAAGACATATATCAGGATCTGCATTGGACAAAATGTGCCGTGTTTTCTTAATGAAATGATTCCTGCAGCTGGGTAATTAATATATTCTTTTACAGTGTAATGATATCTTTATTTTAAAAACATTGATCAATTAAAGCGACGGATATCTTCTGAAGGAATATTGTGACATTTTTCCAGATTCATCAACAAAGGAGAAGCCTAGGAGACCACCTTCCTATCAGCATGACAGCAAGGACAAATCTGGTGCACTTCATCAAATGCAAATCTTGACCAGTGGATTAACTTA